CAAGTAGTTGTGCAATAAGTAAAGATAGAAGATACTTGTTTAGAAAGCTGATGATATATTTTTGTTTCATATTCCAGGTAGTTGGAACTCCCAATTACATGTGCCCTGAACTTCTTGCGGATATTCCTTATGGTTTTAAGTCAGATATTTGGTCCCTAGGTATGCAGTTTTCTATACCTTATACTCTCCATCAGAGTAGTGCATTTATATTAAGGCGATGCTTTTAGAATTTGAAGTCACAATGTATAAAGTACCAATTGCACATTGGTGAGGATACTAACTATTAATCTTACACTTATTGGCTTGAGTGTCGTGCACTATGTTTTAAATGTTATTATTAGCTTCTGCGGATTAAAGTCATTCATTTTTTGACCAGGCTGCTGTATGTATGAAATGGCTGCTTATCGCCCTGCATTTAAAGCATTTGTAAGATTCTACTCTAATCTATTTCTTTTCCTTGATTCCCCTCCTTCAAGTTTAGAGCTTCATACTAATTGGACTGAAAATGTAATCTTGATAATGATTCAGGACATGGCTGGATTAATAAGCAAGATTAATCGGTCGTCCATTGGGCCTCTGCCATCTTGTTATTCTCCATCCTTGTAAGTCTGCCATTTGTTTGTCACAATTGCTTTATGTTTGAATCAAATTTAATCACTATGAAACACGAAATTGTGTGTACTTCTAATCCTTATGGCAAATGTTATCGCGTATTTTTTCAATTTTCTTTTCCAAACTTTTAGTAAATTTTCAACAAACTGCTCTTGATTTAACTTTCTCCTATTACACTTATAATGTAATTTAGCATATTGAATATTGTTATATATTGTTTTTACAGGAAAACACTTATTAAAGGCATGCTAAGAAAGAATCCCGAGCATCGTCCCAGTGTAAGCTTACCAAGGATTTATTCTTCCATAACTTTTGCGTCGGAATAATACGTAGTTCAATCATTTGACTTCAACCTTTTCAGGCTTCTGAGCTCCTAAAGCACCCGTATTTGCTGCCGTATGTTGAGCAATACCGACCATCCTTTACTACTCGCGTGGCAAATCATATTGAAAAACCTGTCGCTACTGGTCGTGACTCTAGAAAGAACATGGCGGAAAGCCAAAGTAGTACAAGTTCTTGTAGCAGGGCTTCCAATTATGATAATAAGGGCACTGATATAGATGTTGCATTTGTTGACGACGATATGGACTTTGAGCAACCTCATTCCTTTGACGAAAATCACGGAGCTGATATCTTTCCTGAAGATACAGATGACTATGAATCTAAGAACATTATTGATGAAGAGAGGAGATGTGATGCAGAAGCTAAGCAACCTAAAACAATAAAAAGTATCGTGCTGGCTATGAAAGAAGGAAAAACGAGAGAGCATAGTTCCCCGATGAGGGGCAACCGAGCTAAAGTTGGCGGTTCAGGTGCACAGAAAGCTCACATCGAAACATCACCAAAGATCCCAAAACCAAGTTCAGTTACTCCTACTTCTAAACATAATGCAGAGACGCCATCTCCTGTATCAGCAAAGACTGGATGTGATACGACAAAAAGGAATCACGGACCGCATACTTTAAAGCATCAGGTAATTTAGCCATTCAATCTCTTATCTCCAGTAGTATTTGCCTATTGGTTTGTATAATTAATTAAGGGATAATTACATTTTTTGGCCGCCCTAAAAAATAATAACAGGCAAATGTATAAGTTTTGTATATCAAGTATAAATATACATGTAATATCCGTAATCAATATGTTTTTGTATATTTGGGCTAGCGCCCGTAATTAATTTCGGCCAACGGGCCAAAAATGAAAAAATCCCTATAATTAATTAATGCCTCTTTCCTTGCAGTTGCCTGCCATTGAGTCCAGTACCAAGACTAAACCTAGACATGAGGGTATCTCTCCCTCTGGTCCTTCAAAGCACGTTGCTGAAGATGGATTTCCTGCAAAGCTGAGACTGCGTACACCTCCTAACCTGATTAGACGGCCCTCATTTCCCAGAAGGATGAAACAAGTGGGGCATGATGCCCCGAATATTCTTAACAATAATGTTAAGTCTGGTCCGGGCGACAATTCCCCGTGTCCTGAAACGATTCCTGATTCTACACCCGATGACTGCCATAAACATGCTATAAAGAATTGTGTGCAACATTCTCGAAAGGTTTCATTAGGAGCTTCAAAAGAAACGCAGGCGGAGAGTAGCATTTCTGCTTCTTCTTATGTATCAATTCAAGGATTTGAACTTTGTGACGACGCAACAACTCCTCCTTTTATAAATTTGACCGAACAGATGCTCCTAAGTCACGAAAGAGCTACTGAAACTGAGACCACAAGATCAAGGCCCTCCTGGTCAACCACTAACTCATCTCTCTCGGAGATTGCTTTTGCTTCAGGGGAAACCCTTGATAACAAGAATTCTGAACCATGCTCCATCGATAAGGTTGAGGAGCCTCATCACATTATGGATGTTGGTGCTTGCAATCAGAAATCAGACCCCACTTCGGCCTCCCTTGGGGACGATAAGTTTATGGTGAAGTTGTCATCCTCGACAACAGAAATTGCCTCTCCCACTGCTCCTCTTGTTCCATTGAGTCAAACTAGTCTTCCTCACTCGGACAGTGCCTCAAAAACCGATGGTGATGACAAGTTTATTACAAAGGAACTCTTATGCTCTCCGACCGAAAGCATTACTCCCTCACTCCCTCCTTTTTCACCTCAAAACAATTTGTCGTCAGAGAAGGGACTAACGACGGTTGTTCCAAAGAATATGGTTCTTGAAAAACCAGCTGCTTCTGACGGCGTCATACATGTCATTCGACACAGTAGTTTCCGAGTTGGTTGTGAACAGCCAGCAGCAGACACTATGGAGACAGGTGCTGATGTTGGGAAACTGATAAATGTGGTAAGAGATGAAATTGATATCGACAGTCTAGGTTCTCATGGCACTCCAAATGCTTCTACTTTTGCTGAATCGGTGATTGGTGTCCATAATAAGGAGATGGACGTAAGAAACAACAGCACTCCAACCTCTTCAGCACCAAGAATAGATTCTTCAGAACCGGCTGCAGAGGAGGAAAGGCCGGTAAAGGAAACGTTAGATGTCAAGTCTTTTAGACAAAGGGCAGATGCACTTGAAGGACTATTAGAATTATCTGCTGACTTACTGGAGCAAGACAGATTAGAAGAGCTTGCTGTCGTTCTAAAACCTTTCGGCAAAAACAAGGTTTCACCGAGGGAGACGGCTATTTGGTTGGCCAAGAGTCTGAAAGGAATGATGCTTGACGAATCTGCACGAAATTCATGATCTGTTCTGCAGATTGGTATTTGCAGATATACTTGTTTTCTTTATTTTTTTGGTCATTCAACTTCCTATTGAATTGTTGAAGAGGAGCACTTAAAGGAGGTGCTTAGCTTCCTTTTTCTCATAAGTATTTATGTAATTCTTTCACTTTAGTAATTGTAAATAGATAGATAGAAACTTGAATAAATCTTTTGATCTGTGAAATGTAAGGATGTGTTTAAACACTATTGTTAATAGACATTTTCATATATTATGTTCTCCTGTTTTTGTCTGACATAAATAAGTCCAACGTTTTCTCATATTTGATGTTGGGCACAAGCGGAGGCGGAGCTCAGGCTGATTGAAAAATTATACTGTGTATATAGATCAAAATAGTTGGTGAATATATAGTGTCCAATAGGTGTGGGTGCACCCGGATGCATTCATTATATTGTATACATAGGAGAGTTAAAGACTTTAAAATTATTTTAAATTTAACGGGTTATAGGACTCCCTCAAAGTAAAAGTGACCCCGCAAAGTGTGCAACTGAATATGCGGGGCAAATATAGGAGGGTATTTATGTATTATTCCATTACTTTAATACTTTAACCTCACTAGTCACTTTTTTTTTGGGTGAATCTTCACTAGTCACTTCACTTAGTCAGTCAAAGTTCGAATCTAATTGAATTGAATAAGGTTTGACCATAAAAAGAGATTCTTTTTTTTTTTGAATTTTTTTCCACTTCTTTTTTGGAAGCAGTGTTTGACCATGAAAATTTCAAATTTCACTTAGAAGTTGAATTTCAGAATTTTTTCAAAATTTGAAATACTCCAAAAAGTTCTTTTTCAAAATTCACTTCAAAGCACTCACAAAAATTCAAAAATATCTCCAAATTATATTAATGTCAAACATAACTCTAATTTTCGAATACTATTTTTAATTTGAATTTTTCCCACTTTTTCCCTTAAAATTCACAATTTTTATGTCCAAACGCCCACTTATAGCATGTTTGGCCAAGCTTCTAAAATCAGCTTATTTTGAAAAGAGCTTTTCTCAAAAGTACTTTTAAAAAAAGTGCTTTTGGTAAGAACCAGTTTGTGTTTGGCTAATTAATTTGAAAAACACTTTGAGCAGTAATTAGTGTTTGACCAAGCTTTTGAAAACTGCTTCTAAGTGTATTTTTCTCAAAAGTGCTTCTCAGAAAAGTGCTTTTGGGGAGAAACTACTTTTTTCTGCTTCTCAAAAACTACTTTTACTTCTCCTCAAAAGCGCTTTTTTTCCTTCCAGAAGCATGGCCAAATACTACAATTTTTGGCCAAAAGCACTTTTGACCAAAAAAAAAGCACTTTTGGCCCAAAAAAACTCAAACAGGCTATTAGTAATCAAGTCGAACTCTTTCTAAAAATAGCTGTGACGATTTCCCTTCCTTTTAATACAATCTATTTATATTATATTAAAAGGAGGGCAGTGAAACACGAGGTTCACCCAAGTGGCATATTGAGAAAAAACCACTTAGCACTTTTAAAATATTAAATAGATTTTATGACAAAATCTAATATAGATTAACAAGATTATGACAGAATCTAAACTAAATTGTTCAAGAAATGTTTCTATAATAAAAGTTCTATTTAAGGAATATTCTTTGTTTAATTTTGGTCCAAGTGATATACGAAAGAAATATAAAACTTTTTTAAGGAGCGTAGTCGTGTACTGAGCTAAATCTTTGGCGGCCCGCCAATTTGGAACGACGCCGTATATAGCAGTAGCCGTTTTCAATTTGGGCCTAGTGGTACTGAAACACAGAGTCTTTGCTCGGCGGCGAACTTGCTCTCTTTTTCTCCGGCAAATTCTCGTCGTAGGTACCTCTCCTCCTCACTGACTTTGTTCCTCTTGATTGCCACTCTAAACGAGAAGCCCCAATTTGTTTTTATTCCCTTACAATTTGTTTTTCCTTCTTGTCTTTGTTTGATTGCGTAGAAACTTGGTACTTTAGTGTCCAATTGGTCATTAGAAAAATTGTGACATTAGATAATTTTTATCAGCCAATATTGTTACATTGTTGCTAATATTCTTTGCTACTTAGTTGCTTTATCTTCATTGTTCCTTCAGCCGAGGGTCTATTAAAAACAACCTCTCTATCTCTATGAGGTGGGGTAAGGTCTGCGTATACACTACCCTCCCCAGACCCCATTTATGGGATCAAACTGGGTTTGTTGTTGTTGTTGTAGCCAATGTGCTCTGAGTTTTACTCTTAACTTTGTAGCACAAGCAGTTATTTTTAACTGTTTTTGTTGCTCATGCTTAATATTACTTCTCTGTGTCCATTCCACTCTATTAAAGTCCATTTCTTTTGGATGTTGGTAATTTACCATTTCTTTTGGATGTTGGTAATTTATCCTTTGAGGCATATTCAGGGTTCTATGAAATTAGAGGTCTGAGAAAAGGAGCACCTTTGCCCTATAGGATTGTTCCTCTTCTCAGGAATGAAGAATTTGATTGAAAAACGTTTTCTTTTAATTTAATATTTTACTTCTTTGGTAGCATGTGATAAATATGGAATACACGTAATCCCATAAAAAGAATTGTTGTTTGGACTCATCTATTGGCGTAGCCACATATAGTGAAGGTGGTAGTCAGCTGAACACCCTTCATTGAAAAGATTATATTGTATATAGAAAATTATATTGAATATATAGGTCGGATTACTTTGTATACATATATAATAAATCTTGAAAACCCTTACGAAATTCCTGGTTTCGTCAGTGGCACTCGTCATATGTGTATTATGAGCATAGACGTCGGTGCATGTGCCAACTTCACCATAGATACCATGACCATAGTTTGTTCCCAATGGAATCATGAAAGCCCTGTAACACTGCTATAACCACTGGCACTTCAAAAGGCTTAGATTCTAAGTAAAAGCCCCTTTTTAGGTTATAGCCTGAACTGGATAGGAAGGGTTTGAGTTGGTACCCCTGTGGAGCTTCGACTGCGTTGGGATTTGATCTATCTACTCGAAAACTTATCCAGTGATTTTGCAATCGTCAAAGCAGCACCAAGAAGCATCAAACACCACATTCAAGCATCCAACTTGATGTTGATCATAACGAGGGGAAAAAAAGAAGTCTTATATTGGAACTAGTTAATCTCACCTATGTGCATAGCAGGATACCTTATAAAAATAATAGAGTATGTCCTTCCCTTTTCCTTTCTTATGTACCCTTAATGTAGGTATTAGAATCTGTCTTTTTTTATTTTTTCCGGAGGTCTNAAAGAAAAGAAAAAAAAAACCACCACCACAATAGTATATGGACTAATAATCTTCTATTATGATTAAAGTGTACCCATATGCTTGGTGAAAATTGGTAGATAGTCGGAGCCAACAATAGAAGCAGATCTCATATGGCTTATGGAGGCACAAATGTCAATCCATTGGCAGCAACAGGTGGTTCAACAACTGTGAGGCAGGTGAAGCTGGATAAAGAATGTGAGCTCCGAATTGAAACCAGCCTCGACTTGCCCCTCCGTCTTCGGCTCTTGACTGGAACAGCTGAGATTTTTGGAACTGAAATCCCTCCTGAAATCTGGCTTACCATCCCTCCAAGACTCAAATTTGCTGTATGATATTATTTCCATCATCTATGCAATCAAATGAATGTGTGCCCTTGACCGATTGCCTAACTGTTTGATGCTTATGAAAATCTGTTGCTGGATGCATTTAATACATGCTGCAAGTTTCATGAATGTGTATATCTTTGAAGTTTTTGTCTCTTTTTTTTTTTGGTTAATATATCTTTTGGACATCAGTTATTGATTTAGAGTATGTTTGTTCAAAAGAACTACTTGCCGAAATACAACAACAACAACAAGTGGGGTCGGGGGAGGGTGAGGTGTACGCAGCCTTATCCCTACCCTGAACGGGCAGAGAGGCGATAGACCTACAGCTAAAGAAAAGATGAGACTAAGATAGCAAGATATTTAGAAAGAAGCATATATCAAGTAATAACATACAACATATTAGAAAACTGAGATTAAGATAGCAAGATACAAGATGAAAGAAGCACCGATAACAAGTAATACAATACAAGATATGTTAATAGCCATCTAAGGATAAAATAATACCATACTAACACTAATACTACTGAAACAAGAAGACAAGGGGAAACACTCGACTGCTTACTAACCTTCTATCCTAATCCTCAACCTCCACACCCTCCCATCGGTCATGTCCTCGATTAGTTCAAGCTGCGCCATGTCCCGCCTGATTACCTCTCTCCAAGACTTCTTTGACCTACCTCTATCCCTCCTCCGACCCCCAAGGACAACCTCTCACACCTCCTGACTGGGGCATCTGTGCTTCTCTTTTTAACATGCTCGAACCATCGAAGTCTCGCCTCTCGCATCTTATCCTCCACGGGGGCCACTCCCACATTGTCCTTAATAACTTCATTCGTAATTTTATCAAACGTAGTATGCCAATACATCCATCTCAACATCCTCATTTCAGGAACTTTCATCTTCTAGACATAGGAGTTCTTGACTGGCCAACACTCTGCCCCACATAACATAATCGGTCTAACCACTACTTTGTAGAACTTACCTTTAAGTCTCAATGTCACATTCTTATCGCATAAGACACTGAAAGCGAGCTTCCACTTCATCCACCCCGCTTCGATACGATGTGTGACATCTTCATCAATCTCCCCATCACTCTGAATCACAGACCCCATATACTTAAAACTCTCTCTCCTAGGAATGACTTAAGTATCAAGCCTCACATCCATGTCTGCTTCCTGGGTAACACCGTTGAACTTGCACTCCGAGTATTCTGTCTTGGTCCTGCTCAACTTGAAACCTTTATATGCAAGGGTATGTCTCCCGACCTCCAGCCTCTCGTTAACACCACCCTGCGTCTCATCAACATAATTATGTCATCTGCAAATAACATACGCTAGGGCACCTATCCTTAGATGTGTCGCGTCAATGCATCCATCGTCAAGGAAAATAAAAATGGGCTAAGTGCTGATCCTTGATGCAACCCCATCTCAACTGAAAAGTACTCCGAGTTTCCTCTTGCCGTCCTTACCCGGGTCTTAGCTCCCTCATACATGTCCTTGACCGCTCTAATATAGGCTACATGCACTCCTTTAGCCTCCAAACGTCTCCATAGGACCTCTCATGGGATTTTATCTTAAGCTTTCTGTAGGTCAATGAACACCCTTCACGAACCTCCTCACAAGGTGAATCACTTCCGTAGTCGACCCGTCCGGGTATGAAACCAAATTGGTTGTCGGAAATGGACAACTCTTCCTCATCCTCCCTTCTATCACCCTCAACCAGACATTGATCGTATGGCTTAGCAACTTGATACCCCTATAGTTGTTGCAGTCTTGGATATCCCCTTGTTCTTGTATAGCGGAATCATCGTACTCCACCTCCACTTATCAGACATATTCTTTGTCCTAAAAATAACGTTAAACAACCTAGAGAGCCATCCCAAGCCTGCCTTACCCGCTCTCTTCCAGAATTCAACAGGGATCTCGTTTGGCCCGGTCGCTGTACCTGTACTCATTCTACATATAGCCCCTTCGACCTCCCCTACTCTTATGCGTCTATAGTCCCCAAAAATCATGATGTCGCTCTAAGTACTCTAAATCGCCCAATACAATGCTCCTATCTCCCTCTTCATTCAAGAGTTTATGGAAGTAAGACTGCCGTCTTCGCCTGATTTGTGCCTCCTCCAACAAGACTCTACCTTGTCTTTTATGCACCTTACTTGGTCCAGATCATGGGCCTTCCTTTCTCTCACTTTGGCCAGTCTGTACAGCTTATTGTCCCTGCCTTTGTCTCCAAGCTCTTCATTTAAACGATCGAACGTCGCGGTCTTAGCCGCAGTGTTAAAAAAAGCGTCCGCTTCCTCGCTTTAAGCGAGAAGCGAGCAGAGCGATGGGTTGGTCGCTACCCCAACTAAAAGCGGCTCAGGTACAGAAAAGCGACTGCTTCTCTCTAAAAAGCGAGAAGCGGTGAAGCGGTCGGGAGCGGAAGAAGCGATCGCTTCTTGAATTAAAAGGCGCAAACGAGTCTTTTTCAATTAAAAGACCCAAATTGTTGAGTCTTCTGTTTTAGACACTTCTTCAGCAGCAAACTAGGGTTCTAAACTAGCCTTTTCTTCCTCAAAAAAACCAGCGATTTCTTCCTCACATGAAGCAACGATTTGTTCAAGCAAACTAGGGTTCTTCTTCTTCTTCAACATTACAACAACAGCTTTCAAGTTTCAACATGTATGTTTTTATTTTCATTCTTCTTCTTCTTTTTCTTTCTAAACGTCCAAAAAGCGCGGAAATGATGGCGAATTTTTTTCAGAAAAATTCTGCCCAATTTCTGCCCAATTGGTGCTACTCTTGACAATCTTGTAGAAGAATAAGATGCTTATTTTGTGCTTTAATTAATGCTACTCTTTAGTTTTTTAATTCAAGTATTGAACATTTGCTTACAATTACATGTGTTGTCTATGCTGTATTTGTTTTAATTTTTTTTTTAAAAATTCCGCTTCACTTCAAAAAAGCGGGCGCTTCGCTTCTTGCTTCTCGCATCTCGTGAAATGGGGGTTGTCGCTTTTCCTCGCTTCACGCTATTTTTAACACTGCTTAGCTGCAGTAATCGCGAACTTCGCCTCCTTCTTAGCTTTCTTATACATTCTCTGTTTGCCCTCCGCTCCACCTCGTCTATGCTCTTTACAAGCTTCAAATTCGCCGCTTTCTTAGCTTCCACTTTCCCTTGAACATCTTTGTTCCACAACCAATCCCCTTTATGGCCACCAGAGAAACCCTTCGAGACTCCTAACACCTCTCTAGCCGTCTCTCTTATACAATTCGCTGTCATAGTCCACATACAACTCGCATTCTAACTACTCCCCAAGCCCCTATAATCCGCAACTTCTCCCCCAACTCCCGAACTTTGTCCTTAATCAATGTACCCCACCTGTTCCTAGGCAGGCCAGATAGAACCTTCTTTATCCTTGTCCGCCTGATCTCTAAGTTAGTAACCAATAGCTTGTGCTGAGTCGTAAGATTCTCACTTGGGATGACCTTGCAATCCATGCATAAACCTCTATCACATTTTCTGAGGAGTAGATAATCAATTTGAGTCTTGGCCTACTTACTCTGAAAGGTGATCAGGTGCTCCCCCTTCTTCGGAAAACACGATTTAGCAATCACCAGATCAAAAGCTTTGGCACACTCCAGTAACGAAGTACCTCCTCCGTTTCTATCTCCAAAGTCGAAGTCACCATGCACACCATCATGCCCCAAACAACATCCCGATATGGCCATTAAAGTCTCCTCCTACAATAAGCTTCTGTGTGAGCGGAATGCCCCGCACTAGCCCATCTAAATCTTCCCAGAAACGCCTTTTAACCTCCTCATCCAAACCCACTTGAGGTGCGTAAGCACTAACTAAGTTCAGGGTATGCCCTCCCACGACTATCTTAATAGCCATCAACCGGTCATTCACCCTCTTAACCTCTACCACTAGCTCTCTAAGTTCCTTATCCACTAAAATGCCTACCAAATTCTTCCCTCTCACTATCTCTGAGTACCACAACTTAAACCCATCGGCCTCCCGAGCCCTACTTCCCACCCATCTAGTCTCCTGGACACAGGCTATGTTTATCTTCCTCTTGTAGAGAATCTTCGCTAAGTCTATCGACTTCCCCGTTAAAGTCCCTATGTTCCATGACCCTACTCTCAACCTAAAGGTTCCTTTACCCCCTTGCCACCCTTACCCCCCACCCCTGCCCTCTCCTCCTTCCCCCCTCCTCCGAGGACATGACCTCACTCTATCATATCTCGTCGCGGCCACTAGACCAAAGCGCTACAGGATGGATAGTCTAAAAAATACCTAAAGGTCCAAAGATGCTTATTATGGCTACAGGTAAGCAGGCACAAATTATGTATCTAACTATAAAACTCAATTTAGTGACAGGAGCAGAACAAGGCAGGCAAGTCCAATCTTAGACAAGTTAAATACAAGATACTGCCGATACAATAAGAAATAGGTAATAAAATATACCGACACCAACCATCAAAGAAGGAGAGATAGAACCTAGGAATAGCTTGGGATACACCGAAGAACCGGATGTAAATCGTCGGTTCGCATCAGAACTGCTCAAAATCTGCTGGAGGTCTAGCTGCCCGGATGCTCGCTCGCCGTGGAAAATCCTGTCTTGGAGTCCTGTTTACAGCACACAAAACACATCAACGACCTCCACACACACTAGGGCGGAGTATCAAGAGAAAAGGGGGGGGGGGGGGGGGGGGTTCTGGGAAAAAGAAGAGACGGGAGAGGCAAGAAAAGAGAGGAAAGAGGAGAGAGGGGACAATTCTTGCCGAAATACAAGGATATGAAAAATTCTTTCTAGATTTACGAGGTTTAGAAAGAGGCTAGCTAGTTGGAGTAGTTTCCACAATGTAGGAGCTATACATTATTGCAGTCAACATTATCCTGTTTGCCTTCTGTGTACTCATTCATTTCCAGGGATTATTGTAATGGGAATGCTTTTGCAATTAGATTTGGGTTGAACTTCCGAGTCCACTCAACCTCTAAAGAAGCTTTTCTTTTTTCCGAGAAATGGGAAGTTGTATTGTTGTTAGGCAGCACTAAATTGGTGCTCAGATTGTGATCGAATATTTATTTTACCACAAAATAGGGAAAAAATGCATTTACGTGTGCAGTGGTTCTTTGATATTTGATGTCTGTTAAAAGTGAATCAAACTCTTTTCTAGCCAAAAATAAGAATAAGAATCGCCCATCAGGATATCTTGCTCAAGAGTTTGCATCTTGTGAGTGGATCTGTTCCTTTTTTTTTTTTGACTTGTTCAAGTTGTAAATCCTAGGTTTTTACTTGGTATGGAGCCACAATCGAGATGGATGGTCCCACTGAAACTGATTATACAGCAGATGAGGTGTGGCCTCTCTCCCTAGCCATCTGTACTTTTTTTTTTAAAATTTCTTTTACTTTTTTGTATTTCAGAATGGTTTGATTGACTTGAGCTTTACTAAACCGAATGGCTAATCACGTTGTAATTTTTTATTCTAGACACCGATGATAAGTTATATAAATGTTCATGCTGTACTTGATGGACGAAGAAATCGTGCCAAAGCTTCGCCTAGTGATTCTGACACTTCTCAGGTATCATTTTTGGTTATTGTTCAGCGTAGGGTAAAACTCAAAGAATTTAAAAGGTTCATTTCTCTTTCTTAATCATTTACTCTTCTGCTTATGGGGCATAAGGAAACCAACTTTCTCTGGTTTACAAAATCACTGACAAGTTTCGTACCATGGGAAGATGTTTGCGGTTGTAGGGGGGAGAGAGATTACAAATCCTGGGTACTGGTGATGAAGATAACTAGTTGCATGACCCGAAGGTGGTAGTATCAAGTTAAAGATTTAGGAAGCTATAGGAAAGCCAATTGCAACCCTAGCTGGGTCCTCCTTCCCAGAGTTATCAAAGGCAAAAAGGAGAAAAAATATTGAAGTCAATTGAGACTTTAAACGCAAAATTGTGAGTTTTAATGAAAAAGGCAAACAATTGAAGGGAATATAAAAAATATATGTAGTTCAAGAAGAATGTAATCATAAACCCAAACAACAATTAGATAGACAACGGAATTGAAAAGAATAATACAATTAGGTAAAATATTTATAGTTTAGTGTGGTTCTCCTCTAGACAGATCCCGTGGGCAATGAGACGCACGGCTTAGCGCTTTGGTGCCTCTATTGAAGAGCCGCTTAAGCAACGCAAAGCGCAGAACCTATTTCCCACCTATCTTCAGGGTTCAAGCTCACATCAAGTGAACCTTTGACAACACTGCTCCTTGCTTGACAATCCTTGGGGCATTGTAGGAACTAAATCAAGCCGCTAAATCAAAGATGTCTAATAGAAAGTGAAAACCATATCATAAACCTTGACAAACTTGATTTGCTTATGATATTCTTCTATGCAACTTTTGATACTGAGAACTTATTTGTTAGGTCATGAGAGAGTGAATTTAGGTAAAGTTTTTATTTAATCATTGCAGGTCTATAGGGGCAATCCGAATGGGGTGGTGCTTGCCCACTCTCAGGTTGTGTAGGTCAGCCTTTAGGAACACATGGAAGTTCTTGTTGATCTGCTTTGTTTAATGTTGCGATTCCTTAAGATACATTAGCTTCTGTCGTGATAATGCACGGAATCCAAATTGGAGAGGTTACAAGAGTAAGAGGTAATATATGAATGATAGAAGCCTGCGTTTTTGTAAGATGATACTTCACTTGGGTATGATAGGAAGTGGAAATGGTGATTCTTAGGGTTCTCTTGAGGAGTGTATATTATCCTAGTTATTGATATACATTGAGGATTTCTATGCTAACCTTATTCTTAGCTCCTTTCTGTTAATTAACCATAGACATCCTTTATGAGAACTACATGTTTTTCATCGACAAGATTTAACATACTTGATTTGGTCAGGGCCCAAGGGTCGTCGTCGTGGGACCTACAGATTCTGGCAAGAGTACTTTATCAAGGATGCTTCTTAGTTGGGCAGCAAAACAGGGATGGAAACCTACTTTTGTGGATTTGGACATAGGTCAAGGATCGATAACTATTCCAGGATGTGTTGCTGCTACACCAATCGAGTTGCCTATTGATCCTGTTGAAGGAATTCCACTTGAAATGCCTATGGTCTACTTCTTTGGTCATGTGACTCCTAGGTAGAAACCTTGTACCATGACATAGTGTTATTTTGACCTCGTCCCTTGTACAAGATAAAGTTTGTATGAAGAAAACTTGCTTTAGCACTTGCACTTTGCTTTTAGCATATTTACTAACTAGCAGACACCACTTCTCTATTTGACAGTGCCAACATAGATCACTACAAGGTACTCGTCAAGGAGCTAGCTCAGACTCTGGAGAAGCAATTTTCTGGCAATGCTGAATCTCGAGCTTCAGGCATGGTAATAAATACAATGGGATGGATAGAGGGAGTTGGTTATGAGGTATTTAAGCTCAATTCCTTTTTTTTGTGTGTGTAAAAGACAGCCAGGGTAGCATTTAGAGTGTTGTGGTCACCATTTCGTCTTCTTCTGCAGTTGCTACTCCATGCGATTGATACATTCAGTGCCACAGTTATTCTTGTCTTGGGTCAGGTATGTTCCACTACTGACAGTGAAGTCCATTTTATATGATTAGTTTTGCACACGAAGGAATTTGATATGTATGCCATGGGGTTAAATATCAGTTGGAAACTCGAGTTCTGTGGAGGTCGAGAATTAGGGTTGAAGGTTGATAGAGAGTCGAGGGTATCTCCTTGTGTTACCGGTAGTATAAGTAATATTCTTATTTCCTGTTCCGAGACCTTTTTATGATACGTTGTTTCTTTCTTACTTATACTATTAGTAATATTTTCTTATCTTAGATATTTGTTAGTATACGTGAGTCCGTGTTTTCTTTCTTTTCTTGTTATTGTTTTTTTATTATGAAGATTATTACATAAAAACATGTAGATGCCACTGGTATTCTCCAACCACAAATAGAATGGACAGAAATAATAATACAGAGCATCACGATTACTTTTGAGTCTTGTTATTGTTATGGTTGGTTGCTTCCTTGTCACTGTTCCTTGGGCCGAGAGTCTATTGGAAACAACCTCTCTACCTTCGCAAGGTAGGGGTAAGGTCTGCGTAGACACTACCTTCCTCAGACTCCACTTGTGAGATTACGCTGGGTTTATTGTTGTTGTTGTTGAGTGCTGTGAGCGAGGGGACAAAAATTCAAAACCTCAAAGGCACATTCTACACTTATCTATGCTATATTAGAAACACGAAGGCCCTTAGCGAAATGTTGTTCGTCTTTTTTACCCTTTAAAATATAGAGTTCACATTGGACAACATAGTAATTTGAGTATTTCATTAATATTTAGAAATAGTCATTTAATTAATTTTTCTATAATTTAGACATAGTTATTTAATTATTCTCCTATTATTGACACTCTAGGAAAGTTAGTAAACTTTTGCCTAATTCTTCGTTCAACTCCCAACATTTGGCTAATTCTCTCACACGTTCTTCTTCTTTTTTTGTTCTTTTTTCTTTTTGCTTTTTTGTTAGGAGTCTTTATTATTTGGTAAAATTTTTGAAGGACTAATTTTTCATAAAAAAAAAATTGGTGAAAGACGAGTTTTTTGGACTTCTTTTTCGTTAAGAGTTTTATTATTTGGTAAATTTTTCTTTGTCTATTTGAACTATATACAAATTTATTTTATATAAATCCTTTCTAGTTTTATACACCCAAATACTTCTATAAAAGAAGCTACAATTTCACAGTTTAATCGTCAAACTTCACCTGTTCTAGCAGCACCGTTCCAGATTCTTTTCTCTAAGCAAATTTTTTCCGTATTAGCTGTTTTATTTTGTAGCGCTCACGTGTTCAAAAACGCTTAAGTTACTTTCACATCCGGATGAACTACAAGTTAAACTTAGAACTTTGAAGGCGAAAGTCTGTAAATCCGGGGTCCTTGCACCATATTGGTCCCACCTTATGATAGTATGTACGCAGACCTTACCCCTATTTTATGAAGGTAGAGAGGTTATTTCCGAAAGACCCTCGGCTCATGAACATTAAAAATGAAGCAATAAGGAAACAATAACAACAACAAGGTAATGAGACAATGGAAGCAAATAAAACGAGTAATGACAGAGATCTAGGGATACAAAGCTACAAGAATAGAGACAATCTTACTGCTAATAATGACACACCGTTTAAAAACAAGGGACTAGGAGTAGGAAAATACCCGACTAGTACTACTACTACTAGTAAGACAACGCGAAACTCTTGACTATCTATCAACCCACCACCCTAATTCTCGGCCTCCACACCTTTCTATCGAGGGTCATGTCCTCGGTAAGCTGGAGTAGATTCATGTCCTGCCTAATTACCTCACCCCAGTTCTTCTTAGGCCTCCCTCTACCCCTCCTCTGACTCGCCATGGGCAACCTCTCGCACCTCCTAACGGGGGCATCAGAGTCTCTCCTCTTCACATGGCCGAACCATCACAACCTCGATTCCCGCAACTTATCTTCCACAGGAGCCACACCCACTTTGTCCCTAATATATTCATTCCTAATCTTGTCTTTTCTGGTATGCCCACACATCCATCTCAACATCCTCATTTCTGCTACTTTCATCTTTTGGGCATGAGATTTCTTGATTGGCCAACACTCGGCTCCATACAACATGGCCGGTCTAACTACTTTGTAGAACTTGTCCTTAAGTCTAGATGGCACATTCCTGTCACACAAAACCCTAGAAGTGAGCCTCCATTTCAACCACCTCGCACCTATACGATGTGCGGCATCCTCGTCAATGTGCCCGTTACTCTGTATTGTTGACCCAAGATATTTGAAACTATCTCTCTTGGGGATGACTTGTGTATCAAGCTTCACGTCCACTTCTGCTTCATGCGTCCCAACACTGAACTTACACTCCAAGTATTTTGTTTTTGTCCTGCTCAACTTGAAACCTTTAGGCTTCAGGATCTGTCGCCACACCTCCAGCTTAGCATTAACCCCACCGCGCGTCTTGTCAGTCACCTTTCTGGAAAGGTATCGAAAATGATAAATGCACAACACAGTGTCGTTTGGGGTAATTCCTGGACATTCTGCAGGTTAACTGCACCATAAGTGTGTTCATTCTGGCATATACTCTCTAATATTAAAGTACATGAGAACTCCTCTCACCAATGTGCTTCTACCCATGTACGGCTTCTCAGTTCTCCCTCCCCAAAATGCCAAGGCAATTGCCTAAATTTTATTGTGATCACTATCGAATTGTTGTGCCTTGCTTGGCCCTTTTCACATATGTTAAAGCCATTTCCTTGAGTGGGTATTATCAGAGGGGTAGAAGGTGAAAGGATATCAGGAAACTTTTGAAAATGAACCAACTAATAGAGATATGAAAAGGAAAGGAAATAGAGAGTGAAAGTATGGCAAGTTGAAATTTCAGTGTTGCCAAACTAGTCTTGTTAGACATTAATTGAGCTTGAGAACTGGTGTCCAGCAATTACCTGTTTATAGAGCTGTTTTCTACACTGTAGAAGTTGATCTTATATCTATTATGTGGTTGTACTCTGGGCAGGAAAAACTTTGTAGCATGCTAAAAGATGTATTGAAGAAGCGGCCTAATGTGGATGTAGTGAAACTTCAAAAGTCCGGTGGTGTTGTATCAAGGAATGCAAAAGTACGGCAGAAAGCAAGGGGCTACAGTATTGCCTTCTAAAAGAGAGTTAATTTGTTTTGTTGGTACGGAGGGGTTTTCTGTATGTAATCCATGTACTCGAGAATTGGTTAAGTTAGCTTGTTGTACTAGTATTGCTCTTACTTGTAACGGTATTGCTTTTGGGTATATAAAGGAGAGGCATGAGTATATTTTGGTTAATGCTCGTGGTATTGATAATGATACTGGGTGTGAGGTTATGAGGTTGTTGTTTGAAAGATCGTTCTTGGAAGGTTGTTAGTGCAAAATGCCCGTATTATCTTCATAGTTGGGGGGTTTTGGTTGACGATATGTTTTATTGGATTGGATATTGGGACAAGAATAATGACTTCAAGATTGATGCAATCGTTTCGTTCGATTTGGGGAAAGAGGAGTTTGGTACGGTGGTGCTACCAGAAGGTCATTTTTATCCCGAGAGAGCTTTGTTATTGATGGAAATGAAGGAGATGTTGTGTTTAGTTAATTTATCTGAGGACAATTATACCATGGATTTTTGGATGTTGAAAGATTCCAAGAATTATATGTGGGTTAAGGAGTACAGAATTGATCTAGGCAGGTTTCTCGGCAAATGGTTTATTACTCCAATGTATCAAAGGGAAGGGAAAATTCTTATCAATGTAAATTCTAAAAGTCTTGAGTGGTATGGCGTAGAGAACAAGTGTTTCAAGAGTATAGACAATCTAAGATCAGGCCGATGGATGTGGTGTGGATTTTGCATTGATGGCTTGTTTTCCCTGGGAAGCCAATAGGCGGCATAATGTTTTGTATGTTAGGTTTGGGCTTTCGTCCTGCTGTTTATTGTTGTTTCGTCGCTGGTAATGCTTAGGATTTCACCGTTTGCTTAGAGTAAATTAGTTAAACGTTTTGAAAGCTGACCAAACAATGCTCTATGATATTGTGGGGTTATCTATTACATTTAAAATGATGTTAGAATTGTTTTATGGTCATTAGTCTTATTGTGTAATGTGGAAACTATTTTATAGTATGAATGAATCCTAGTTAAACATGACGGGGAAAAAATTATCCTTGTGCTTAATGGCATGAATATTATCATTGCTCTACCCTCGTCTAGCTCTTTCTTTATAAAGTAATAATGCTTATTAGCCTTAGATATCAAACATTATGTTCTATTGTCAGTTATTCAAGATGTCATACAAATTGATATCTCAATGTTAAATAACTTTATTTCAGTCTATGAATATTGAATGCCTCTATAGGTGGATGAAGTGCCTGGATAGTGGATAAATATTGAACTTCTTTTTTTGATGAAATCTACTTTCATGAAAATAAGTTGCCTCTGATGATAGTACTCTCTGATTTTGATTGATTGATCCTTTATTTTATCTTTGGTTGTTGACATTGATTGCTTCTAAAGTTGAGCAAGAAGAGATTACTTCTTTTTGGGAACTCTCTCTTTATAACCAACTATAAAGCAATTTTCTGGCCGGAGTAGGTAGGTAGGTAGAGAGAGAGAGAGAGAGAGAGAGAGAGAGAGCGGATCTCTGAATTTCATAATTTGTTGCTTCCAAATAGTTGATTTGCTTAGCTGCGCTGACCCATTGAACTTGATTTGGTTTGCACGTCATTGTCTTGACTCTTGAGAAAACAAGAAAGGAGAAAAAGTTAGAGTTTGGAACATTTAATTTGGTTGATGTGCATGCTTGTTTAATCACAGTCAACATGGCCTTGTTTCCTTGTCTTTAGCTCTATTTTCGCACGTTGAGATAGTGTGGCTCTTCTTTTTGGTGGTGCTAAGAGGCAGCTATAAGATGTTTGTTTTGATGAATCTCTTAATAGTTTGTGATAAAGACAAGCTTTTACAGGCTATGCTGTTTTGGACCAATTCGTAACTCTTTATTAGGAAGTGGAGGCAACGTTGCTCTATCAGTTGGTCTGAGGATCTTTGAAAGTCTTAACTAAGTTGAAAATAGAAACTCAACTTGATAGTCTTATTCGGAAACAATTACTTAAAATCATTTCCTTGAGTGGGTATTATCAGAGGGGTAGAAGGTGAAAGGATATCAGGAAACTTTTGAAAATGGACCAACTAATAGAGATATGAAAAGGAAAGGAAATAGAGAGTGAAAGTATGGCAAGTTGAAATTTCAGTGTTGCCAAACTATTCTTGTTAGACATTAATTGAGCTTGAGAACTGGTGTGCAGCAATTACTTGTTTATAGAGCTGTTTTCTACACTGTAAAAGTTGATCTTATATCTATTATGTGGTTGTACTCGGGGCAGGAAAAACTTTGTAGCATGCTAAAAGATGTATTGAAGAATCGGCCTAATGTGGATGTAGTGAAACTTCAAAAGTCCGGTGGAGTTGTATCAAGGAATGCAAAAGTACGGCAGAAAGCAAGGGGCTACAGAATACGGGTACAGATTTCCTTTTAGATTAGTGATAAAGGGAGTGCGGTCCTCTTATTTTTCACCTTGTCCTTGTAATGCAAAACTAAACTTTTTATTTCGTCTTTGCTTCCCCTACCAGGAGTACTTTTATGGCCCTTCAAATGACCTCTCACCACATTCTAATGTAGTGAACTTCGGTGACTTGTTCATCTACCGAATTGGGGGTGGACCACAGGCTCCACGCTCAGCTTTACCTATTGGTGCAGAGCCTGCTGCAGATCCTACAAGATTGGTTTCTGTTAGTATCAACCGGGACTTGCTCCATTTGGTTCTTGCCGTCTCGTATGCCAATGAACCAGATCAAATAATTTCCAGGTAAGGCTGAGTTCGTTTTTCTATCGTCGTTCTTATGCTCAGTGATAATTGATTATTCTGTTTTAGCTAAAAGAGTTTAAGGTTATGAGGTTCATTTTTTGAATTACTGCTCTTAATTTGTGAGTCCTAGCTGTAAAAGAAACCCCTGTTTATTATTAAAATGACAAGATAAATCAGCACATAATACATGACTTCTATTAAAATTTATGACAATAAATAGTAACTTATTTGGAAAGCCTAATGGGAGTGATTGTCATTTCTAAATTTATCCTTAAATTGTTTGCCGAAGGATACTAGTTTTTGGTGTTGGCAGTGAGGGGTTATTGCCTTCATGGGACCATTTTCTGCACTCCTCTCTGCAAAAAGCTTAAATCATGTATAACACAAAGTTTAACATAACAGTGCTTGGGTGAGTGAAAATTGTACGAAATGCAAAGTAGTCTCGTGTAATTGCATGTGGAGCCTCAGTTTCATCCATTAGTGATGTAGCCTGGAAATTTGGCATTTTTCTCTTTAGTCTTTTTGGCTCCTTTGTAATCTAAAATTTGTAAATTTCACTGGCGAGGTAACTACTATTTCATTTCCTTCACTGTTTCTCACAAAATATATTTCACTGATATTGAAGCATCTACCTCATTAAGTAGTATGCTGTTCATTAAAATTATGCAAAGTGGTGTATATTCCTGCCATCTCATGATTCCCTCCCCCAGAAAAACCTGTTTTTGTGTCTCATATACTTCTTTTCTTCCCATGACAGTAATGTTGCCGGATTCATCTATGTCACAGACGTTGACATGCATAGGTGTGAACTCGAACTCTCCTCTTATTAGACAGTCACTTTTGCTATTCTGAGTGCGAGTATGATCTTTATCTTCGATTATCTCCATTTTCAGGAAAAAGATAACATATCTTGCACCATGTGCTGGGGAACTTCCGAGCAAATACCTAATCGTGGGAACCTTAACATGGATTGAAAACTGAATTATACAAATGCAGTAGCCAGTGGTTTTTTTCGGCCTCTGAATTATACTAAGCTTTTGGTAGTGTAGAAATGCAATAGGCTTTTTCTGTGATGACTGTATAATACTACGACTGTACCATAGGTATGAGGCTTTATGGAGAAAATTCGAATGTACAAATAACATTAGCTCCTTCATCTTTTTTATCGGCAAATGTTAAGTTAAATGGTCTTTTTGCATCACTGACATTTTGACATCTCCAAGCTTCTGAGGAAGTATGAATCCTATTTCTCTTTTTCAACAAATACTTACTCGTATACGGCCTTTTCCGAAAAGAAATTTTTTTAGGAGATATGTTTTTGGTTCGTGAATTGTGCTCGACAACGAAGCAGATGCATCAACAGATAAGACACCATATAAAGAACAAAGAGGAGGCAACTACAGGAAGCAGCCTAAAGAAACCATAACAAATAAGACACAACATAATGTCTATGCCTATTGCTGCAGTGAGCTGAGTGTATTTAGTGAACGGTGCATAGAATTAGCAGACGACTTGAATACGCGACAAGTTATTTCAAGAGGTACAATGGCTTTGCTGCTATAATCCACTGAGATTTCAACTTATTATATAAAATAAGGTATCCATATTTTTTTGTCAACATATATACAAATTTTAGGTTCTAGGTCCACCATGTTTGGATGGTTTGTTCTTGTGAAGATTTATGGGTGTAAAATCACAACAATAATAATATTGATGCCTCAATCTCAAGCAATTTGTCATTTGCATATGAATTTTCACTATCCTTTTTATAGTATAAGGGGTGGAAATATTCAATTTTAAAATACAAGAGATGTATGCGAAGGTGATTATATTATAGAGGTGTTAGTGGGAAGAAATAATAAGAAGACATTGGAACATAAATTTGGAGATGATGGGGGCATGAGTTCATTTTGGTCATGGTATTAGTGGCGGAGCCAGAATTTTCCCTAAGGAGAATCAAAATATAAATAAGCAAGCATATGAAAAAATTAAGGGAGTCAATACATAGTACATTGAGACTTCTTATAACAACATCTCTATATAACAACACATCACTATAAAAGTCAAGCTTTTTTGGAACCAATTTTTATGTTATATTATAATACATGTCCTCTATAACAACACTTCGCTATAACTTCTAAAAATATTCGGAATAAACGAGGCTATTATAGAATGGTTTGACTGTATCTATACATAATAATAAAATATTTAACCTATCTACGCGGTATAATTTTTCGATGAAGGGGTGTCAATTGACTCCCCTTGCCAATGAATGGTTCCGCCACTGCATGGTACTAGAAAATGGAATCCTAAAATGACTCCTTATATCTCTACAAAGCGTAAGGGTATTAATATTTACAAATATAAAATGATCGTTTTTTATCTGAACTTTGTGATTATAATTAATCGTGCCACATAAAATATGACAATGGAAAAAGGGGAACAGTACATTCAAGTTTTTTTTTTTTTTTTGTTTTGTTTTGTTTTGTTTTTGTGAAAAAGGGCCAAAAAGATTTTTCAAAGTATATTGTGACGAACAAAGAGAGACGTTATTCTGTTTAAAACCCTTCACAGTTATCAAATAAGCAGTTTTTGATAACTCGGCTAAGAGCCCGTTTGGCTTAGCTGATGTAGAGTAGCTGATAAGCATTAGGTGCTGAAAAACACTTTTAAGTGTTGAAGCTGATTTAAAAATAAGCAGTTACGTGTTTGGATAAAAGTGCTGAAATTAATAATAAACAGCTGAAGAACTGGGTATACGAAGAGTTTTGTTTTAAAAAGAAGTATTTTAGGGATAGAATAATAAATATTTTGGCCAAACCTAAAGTGCTTATAAGCTGAAATTTGATAAGTTGGGGAAGACCGACTTATGACTTTTGGCTTATTTTTGGCTTATAAACACTTAACTTATAAGCACTTTTAATTTTACAAAACGCGTAGATAAGCCAAAAAGTGCTTATAAGCCAGTTTGATCAGCTTATAAGTGTAGCCAAACACCCTCTAAACTAGCTCTTATTGTAGCTTATATTTTCCCTCCGATCCATAATAAGTTATCTTTTGACCTTTTTTTTAGTGGTCCAAAATAAGTAATTTTTCCATATTTCAAGAATGAATTAATTACTTTTTTCCTACATTGCTTTTGGAGTAAATAATGTTGAAATATGTGTTGTGAAGAGATAGTAAAGGTTAATATGTTCAATTTTATTGCTAATTATTATTAAAAGATAATTTTTTAAATATGTGTGAAAATAGTCAAAAAATTACTTATTGTGGACTAGTAACTAATTAAATACTTTTATTATTTAGCAAACGCATAAATAAATTAAAAAAGTTGAAGCTCTTTATATTCAGGTCCTTTTATTATCCCAAAAAAACAAAACAGAGAAATGGAGTCAAAATCAAGAGCCGTTTCTTCATCATCATCTTCCAAAGCAAAGATGATAATCAGTTTCACAATATTGTCAAAGGATATTACAATGGACATTTTCTCAAGACTACCCACAAAGTCATTGGGTCAATCTGTTGCCTTCTAAAGGGGAGTTAATTTGTTTTGTTGGTACGGAGGGGTTTTCTGTATGTAATCCAAGTACTCGAGAATTGGTTAAGTTAGCTAGTTGTACTAGTATTCCCCCAACTTGTAATAGTAGAGCTTTTGGGTATATAAAGGAGAGGAATGAGTATATTTTGGTGTGAGGTTATGAGGTGGACTGATGGTTGCTGTTTGAAAGATCATTCTTGGAAGGTTGTTAGTGCAAAATGCCCGTATTATCTTCGCAGTTGGGGGGTTTTGGTTGACGCTATGTTTTATTGGATAGGATATGGGGACATGTATAATGATGTCAAGATTGATGCAATCGTTTCGCTCGATTTGGGGACAGAGGAGTTTGGTACGGTGGTGCTACCAGAAGGTTGGTTTCATCCCGATAGAGCTTTGTTATTGATGGAAATGAAGGAGATGTTGTGTTTGGTTGATTTATCTGAGTACCACTCTACCATGGATTTTTGGATGTTGAAAGATTCCAAGAAGTATATGTGGGTTAAGGAGTACAGAATTGATCTGGGCATGTTTAATCTCAACAGGGGGTTTATTACTCCAATGGATCACAAGGAAGGGAAATTTTTTATGAAGGTAAAGAATGTGAATTCTGAAAGTCATCTTGAGTGGTATGATGTAGAGAACAAGTGCTTCATGAGAATAGACAATCTAACATCCCGCCAATGGATCTGGTTTGGACTTTGCTCTAATGGCTTGTTTTCCTTGGGATGTTGATAGGCAGCAATAATGTTTCTGTATTTTAGGTTTGGGCTTTCGTCCTGTTGTTTATTGTTGTTTCATCATTCCTAATGCTTAGGATTTCACCTTTTGCTTAGAGTGAATTAGTTAAACTTTTTGGAAGCTGACCAAACAATGCTCTATGATCATATTACGGGGTTATCTTGTGGTCTTTGGGATGTATCTAACTCCTTAAGTTGAACTATTACATTTAAAATGATGTTAGAATTGTTTTATGGTCATTAGTCTTATTGTGTTATGTGGAAACCATTTCATGGTATGAATTACTTCATGGAGGATGTGACGACCCGACCAGTCGTCTCATGAATTTGGTAAGGTTTGAGACACTTAGTTTCTTTTGAGGAAGCTTAAGTTGGAAAAGTCAACTGGATGTTGACTTATGTGTTAGAGGGCTTGGATGTGAGTTCTAATGGTTCAGATAGCTGTCGACGCCCCCTTTTTCTGTGGGTCGAAATCGGGTATACGACATTGGGAGGACAACTCTATTCCCTTTCGAGAATTGGGTTTAGAAGTTGAAGAGTCGCCACCTAATGATTATAGTGCATTAGGACACTTTTTAGAAGAGTTTGAGATGAAGAGACTAGAGATTAGGGTAAGGGCTAGAAATTATTCCGAGGGGAAGGTGTTAGGCACCCCTCAGGATCCACAAGTGTGGTTCCCGGCCATGCTACAATTGTAACTTTAAGAAGACAAGTAGAAAAATAAAGCAAAGGGCTTCACATAGTTTTGCAAACAAATTTAAGAGTTGAAGAAGTAGAGAGTTTAGAAAATTAGTTTTAAAAGAAAACTTAAAAATTAACAAGTAAAGGGGAAAGCGGTCCTAGGTTTACCGATAATATGGATCACATCAATGCAATATCCAGCAATCACTCCTCAGAAGAGGGGTCACACATGATATTAGCGCACCGGTCATCATATTCATATTCTACTCTTCCCACCCCGTTATGGTATTAAAGCGCGGAAAGTTTTGTTACTTATTGCATGCTAGTACCCGTCCCAATCCTATCAGTCCCGGAGGCATTAGGACCACTATTCCTACAGGGTAAGGACTAGGCTGAACCCTTAGGTTTAAATGACAAAATGCTAGGCGACATACATAACAAGTAGGACTACACATAAAGGAAAAATACAAAGGCAAATAAAAAACTCACAGATCCCCCCACAAGTAAACATGTAATCAGCATGTCTCAAACACATTTAAGGTCTCAAAGATAGGAGTTTTTAAATAAAAGGAATAAGTGACAGCAGTTGGGTAAGTAAAAGATAAAGGAACCGTTAAAACATGGTTTGAAAAAGTAAAGACTTGAAGATACAGTAGTTTAACTATGACAAGTATCAAAACAACAAGATTCTAGGCAGGAAAGGTAACCCAGTAGTTTGAAAACTTAATAGGACAAGAATCAAAAATCAGTGAGAGTATATAGATACGTGATTTCAAAGGTTGTTTCTAGATAGAGATGTATTTTTAGTAAAAAAAAGTGAACTTCAGGTAATCACAACAAGAATGAGAGTGGCAAAGTTAAAAAAAAAAAGGCTGGTTAATCTTAAACTGATAAAAAACATGATTAATCGATTCTTATTAGGCCTAAAGTTTGCCTAGACGGCGTGTGTATTGCCTACTTATCTTAAAGGTGAGCATGCATATTAATCCCAGTTTTAAAAGAACGCAGCTAACCAGACTTGTTAATTGCAATGAGAACAGCAGAACCATAAGTAGAAGCATAAAAGAAACAAGAGAAAGTGCAATACACATAACAACATGTTGTTTTGGAAACTGTAAATTAAATAGGAGACATACCAGTCAAGAGTAAGATAATATAGAATAGTGGTGTGCAGGGAAGTAGAGCATGAGTGTATGCAGACCAAGAGAAGCAGAGCAATTCAGCAGTAGAGTAACAAGTTACTCAATCTAGGCTTTCTGCCGACTGGGTAACCAGAAGAAGTGAGAGAATATGTAGAAAAAATAAGAGAGAGAGTAGTGAAGATGCTTATGTGTATAAGAGAGAGTTCAGAACAGTGATTGTTCGTGTCTTATGCCAAAGAGAGGGTAGACTATTTATAGTTTTGAAAACAAGTGGAGAATAAGGTAACACGTATAGACTGATCATAGTTATGGAAATAATACCTATTAGAATCAATTAAAGCCCCGGACTCCCTTCAATTAGGGAGTCATAGTTCAAACGGGTACAAATTGTATCAAATAAGGAAAATTATTGTTTGCAAGACTGGTATTTCCATAATAGGAGTAGTAAGAGTATGATGCACATGATAAGGAATAAATACAGAATATTTTAAGTAATGAAAGTATAAGGACATCATATTGTGCATACAAATTAGTTCAAAGAATCACGGATGAAATTGAAAATCAAAGGGAATCAGTACTAAGTAAGGAGAGCATTTCACAAATAAGGAAGTGATTCAAAAATCAGTGTAAAACTTCTAAGGAAAACATATACAAATCAGGGATTCGAAGAGATGCACAAAATCAACAGAATATTTGGTAAACGAAGAACAATTAAACCTATAAAACACAATAGGCATGAAAATTAGAGAACCCTAAGCAAGAAATCACAGAAACAGTAGAAGGTTGGAACCCTAACAACAAAATTAAAGCATAGAACTCGGAGAATAACTTAGAAGATCACACAAACAAGCAAATAATACAAACACAAACATATAGTACTCAAAATCAGAAGATAAAGCGATTTCGAAAAGGGGTTCAGAAACCCTAGTTTGAAAAAAAGGAACAAAACGTTTAAAACTTGAGCAATCATAAAGATCAAGTAGAGAGTAGTGTAAAACATAAAGGTGTGAGTTAAAATCGTTAAAAAATACAGAGATTTGAGGGTTTGGGTAGAGATTAGGATTTCGTAAGAAACCAGTGAGAGATAAGAGAAACCTGGCTGTGAAACTCAACAATAATGGTGTCCACAGCACCATCGGACCAAAACCCATCGGAGAAAGGCTGGAGACAAACCAGATCAAGCCTCCAGTGACCATATCGTATGGCGGAGGCTTCTCGGGTCTCACCAATAGAGGGAATCAATGAGGTAAAGTTTCACGGCGACTGGTGGTCGAAAGGGGTGAGGCTGGAGGTGGTCGGAGAGGCGGTGAGTTCATCAGAGAAGAAGAGAGAACCAGAAGGTTCTAGAGAGAAGGGAGAGATGATATAGAGAGAGATATAANATTAATTAATAACATATAAATATTAATTTAAAAATAATAAAAATGATTTTATAATTGCAAAATGCTGTTAATTGTAAAATATGCTATAATTGTAATTGTATGCAATTTAGCTTTAAAAATACCAAACAAATGTGTAGAAATATGCAAAAATCACTTAAATTATATTTTGGTATAAATATGAGAGTAAAATGAATTATTCACCAAAAATGATAATTTTGGGAATAATTATTGAATTTTGTAGTATTAAAATAGACAATAAATTGGTTTTAAAAAATCTTTAAAAATTTGGAAAAATACCAAAACACTTGGGTATGTTCATATACGCATATATATGTTATTTTAAAAGTATTTTGAGTACAAAAATACCTAGGGAAAATTGGATATCGACAACTGCCCCTCTTTACCCGGGAAGGATGAAAGAGTTATCGGGTAAAGATAGGATGATCAATTTTGACCGAAAGAGGCGATTTATAAGGAATTTTGACTGAGCTCTGGTTCCTGAGCTGCCTACATATCTCGGGTCTCACAGGAATTAGACCATATGCAGTTCAGGATCCATCGACAAAATATGCCGATAGAGTTATTGAAAGGAACGGACGCGATGCCTAAGTTGAGAAAGATAGTTGAAGTCTGATAGGTTGCGAGAACCGGAGCGGGATCGCTACTACTGAGACAGCCATTGCCAACCGGTGTACCTGCAAGTAAGCAATATGAGCGTATATCGTGCGTAAATTTAAACGTGATGCAAGTTCCCATCGGACCATGAATGCTGTCTTTGGACGGTTAGGATGACAAACTTGGACCATGACGTCCCGGGCTATGAAGAGCGTAAATAAAAATTCGCAGGCCATGAAATGATGTTCTCGGGCCATGTAGGTGGTGCCTCCGAACTATGATGCCTTTGAATAAGTTGACGATCTTTTAGCCCATTAAATGCAAAAGGTGGCGATCTTTCAGCCGATACAGAATTTAAATGAAGTTAGCAATGTTGCATCTGTGCGATAAAAGTAAAGAGGCGATATTTCAGCCATGCAGGATGGAGACAATTCTTAGTCTCGAAAGGCAGATAAAGTAGCCTTATGTAGATAGAGACATGGCTTAGTCTCGAAAGGCAGATAAGTAGCTTTATGCAAATGATGATGGGGGTAGAGCTTAACCTCGGAAAGCAGAAAAGTAGCCTTATGCAAAAATGCAGATGAAGACAGAGCGTAGTCTCGAAAGGCAGATAAGTAGCCTTATGCAGATGATGATGGAGACAGGGCTTAGTCTCGAAAGGCAGAAAAGTAGCCTTATACAGATGATGATGGAGACATGGCTTAGTCTCGAAAGGCAGATAAGTAGCCTTATGCAGATAATGATGGATGTAGAGCTTAACCTCAGAAGGCAGAAAAGTAGCCTTATGCAAAATGCAGATGGAAACAGAGCTTAGTCTCGAAAGGCAGATAAGTAGACTTATGCAGATGATGATGGAGACAGAGCTTAGTCTCGAAAGGCAGAAGAGTAGCCTTATGCAGTGAAAGAATGTAAAAGGACGATTAGTAGTAAGATCTCTTAGCTGATAGCCGATTACGACAATATGACTGCTGGGGAGATTGTGTACGGATAGCAATTGCGGGCAAGTGATGATTCTGAGAAGTTGCATTCTTGGGAAAGTATGCATACATAAATATACTTAACGATACTGCAAGTCGAGTGCCTGCATCCAAAGAAAAATCGTGAATTCTGTAAGGGGAAAAGGTTAGTTCATCTTCCCCGGGCTCTTGACGTTGTGTATCATTGGGATAGTGTCGCTAAACAACANAGTTCTTGTGTTTGATCTTGAATGTTTCACACATTGCTTTCATCAAGTCGCTGTTGAGATTGGAACCATTATCGGTGATGATTTATTTCGGAATTCCGAACCGACAAACAATACGGTTGCGGACGAAATTTGTCACAACCTTCTTAGTGACCGCCTTGTATGATGTTGCTTCGACCCATTTGGTAAAATAATCGATTGCCACTAAGATGAACCTATGCCCATTTGATGCGGCAGGCTCGATAGGTCTGATAACATCCATTCCCCAAGCGGCGAATGACCATGGTGAGCTTATTGCAGTAAGCTCGTTTGGAGGCACCTTTATCATATCTGCATGTATCTGACAGCGATGACATTTGCGAACATACCGGATACAGTCTGTTTCCATAGTCATCCAAAAATACCCTGCTCAGAGTATCTTCTTTTCTAAGACAAAACCATTCATGTGTGGCCCGCAGGTCCTTGCATGCACTTCGTCCAATAGCCTAGATTCTTCTTTTGCTTCGACACACCTTAGTAAACCTAAATCGGGAGTCCTTTTGTACAAGATTACTCCACTATGAAAGAAGTTGCTGGATAACCTACGAAGTGTGTGCTTCTGAGTAGCGTTGGCAAGTTCTGGATATTCCCCTGTTGTCAAGTACTCCTTGGTGGAACCATGGTTTTCCCTCCGCTTCTTCCACAACGTGGGTGCAATAAGCTGGCTGATCATGAATCTTTACTGGGATGGGATCAATGAAATTTGTATCTGGATGCTGGATCATGGACGATAAAGTAGCTAATGCATCATCAAACTCGTTCTGGACTCCGGGGACGTGCTGAAATTCTGTATTTGTGAACCTTTTCCTCAACTCCTGTATGTGATGCAAGTAGGGAAGTATCTTAGAGTTCTTGGTTGCCCACTCTTCTCGAACCTGATGTATGAGCAAGTCTGAATCCCCGATCACTAGCAACTCCTGAACGTTCATGTCAATGGCCATTTTGAGCCCCAAGATGCAGGCTTCATATTCGGCCATATTATTGGTGCAAGGGAACCTGAGCTTGGCGGATACCGGGTAGTGCTGGCCGGTTTCTGATACTAGGATTGCTCCTATGCCAACTCCTTTGAAATTTGCAGCTCCGTCGAAAAACAACCTCTAACCATCATAGGGTTCTGCAATATCTCCTCCTATGAAAAATACCTCTTCATCGGGAAAATACGTCTTTAGGGGCTCGTATTCTCCATCCACGGGATTCTCGGCGAGATGATCTGCCAAGGCTTGCCCTTTGATTGCTTTTTGGATCACATAAACAATGTCAAATTCACTTAGCAGTATTTGTCACTTGGCGAGCTTGCCAGTGGGCATGGGTTTCTGGAAGATATACTTCAAAGGGTCGATTCTGGATATGAGATAAGTAGTGTAAGCACAGAAGTAATGCCTCAACTTCTGCGCGACCCAAGTCAGAGCATAACAAGTGTGTTCTAAAAGAGAATACCGGGCCTCGTACGGTGTGAACTTCTTACTGAGATAGTAGACGCCTTGCTCTTTTTTCCCTGTTTCATCATGTTGTCCCAGAACACAACCGAATGCTCCATCCAATACCGCAAGGTAAAGTAATAGGGGTCTTCCTGGCTCAGGCGGAACCAAGACTGGTGGCGTTGATAGGTATTCCTTGATTCTGTCGAAGGCTTTCTAACAATCATCAGTCCACTTGGTAGCAACATCCTTTTTCAACATTTTAAAGATAGGTTCACAAATGATAGTGGACTGAGCTATGAACCGGCTGATATAGTTGAGCCTTCCCAGAAAACTCATCACGTCTTTCTTGTTCTTTGGTGGCGGCAATTCTTGGATGACCCTAACCTTTGATGGATCCAATTCTATTCCTCGATGACTCACGATGAAACCCAATAATTTTCCAATAGGAACCCCAAATGCACACTTGGCGGGATTCAGTTTCAGATTGTACCTCCTCAGTCTGTTGAAGAATTTTCTCAGGTCTTCCATATGATCCATGGCTTTCTTGGATTTGATGATGATGTCGTCTACATATACCTCGATCTCCTTATGTATCATGTCATGAAAGATAGTAGTCATGGCTCTCATGTAGGTGGCACCAGCATTCTTCAAACCAAATGGCATCATTTTGTAACAGTACATTCCCCACGGCGTGATGAAAGCCGTTTTCTCTGCATCTTCCTCATCCATTCATATCTGATGATACCCAGCGAAACAATCAACGAAAGACTGCAACTCATGCCTGGCGCAGTTGTCAATTAGAATGCGTATGTTCGGCAAGGGGAAGTTATCTTTGGGACTGGCCCGATTAAGATCCCGGTAGTCGACACAAACCCTAACTTTCCCATCCTTCTTTGGTACTATCACGATGTTGGCTAACCATGTTGGATATTCCACTACCCCGAGAACATTGGCTTTGAATTGCTTGGTAACCTCTTCTTTGATTTTCAAACTCATTTCGGGTTTGAATTTCCTGAGCTTCTGCTTTACCGGCGGACATGTTGGATCGGTTGGCAGTTTGTGAGATACAATGGATGTACTGAGACCAGTCATATCATCATATGACCAGGCGAATATGTCCTCATATTCCTTTAGGAACTCCATGTACTCTTTCTTTTCTGATGGTAACAGGTGAACACTGATGCACGTTTCTTTGATATTCTCTGTGTTAATACCCAATTTTTCCATATATATTTTTTGCACATACATAAGCATGCCCAAGTGTTTTGGTATTTTTTCCAAATTTTTAAAGACTTTTAAAACTAATTTATTGTCTATTTTAGCAGTGCAAAATTCAATAATTATTCACAAAATTATCATTTTTGGTGAATAATTTATTTATTTCTCATATTTACACCAAAATATAATTAAGGTGATTTTTGCATATTTTTAAAAATTCATTTGGTATTTTTAAGTTAAATTACATATAATTGCAATTGTAGCCTACTTTAATATTAATAGCATTTTATAATTGTAAAATTAGTTTTAATATTTTTAAATTAATATTTATATATTATTAATTGGGTCAGTTCTTTTAATTTGCTTTTAAAATTATTTTTACTATTTTTATAAAATAAAAGGGAAGAAATGGCTGTTTAAAATTTAGCCTCATTTATTTCAATTACAACCCCTTTTATATTTCAATTTTAACCACCATTTGACCCAATCCCAATCCCAACTGGACCGACCCACTTTTTAACCTGACCCAACCCATAACCCAATCCAAATGACCCTACCCGATTCCCACCTACCCTTTCAAATCTGGACCGTTGGTCATTCAAGATCAACGACCATAACCCACCATTCCATAATTAAACCAAATGACCTACCCTAATCCCCTCATTCTCACCTGACCCGCCGCCCTTGAAACCTCCCGTCTCTCAAACTCTCTCAAACTTTCCGAAACCCTAGTTCTCTTCTACCATTTTTCAACACCATCTCACCGGAATCCATGGCTTCTCAGGCCATGAATGGCCTGTTCTCACTACCCTCCACTCTTAAACGTTTGATGTTCGAAGTTTTGAGGTCTGACCTCGAATGAGGTCCGTTCAGATCTTCGCCGATTCAGGGGTCCATGGCCTCTCCGGCCTTTCTTCGACATATCCAAAGCATTTCGAGCCTGGTTCTGACTCATCCGACTCATGGATCGCATGGAAGGGAAAATTCTTATGAATGTAATAAATAATGTGAATTCTGAAAGTCATCTTGAGTGGTATGATGTAGAGAACAAGTGCTTCATGAGAATAGACAATCTACGATCCCGCCGATGGATCTGGTGTGGACTTTGCACTGATGGCTTGTTTTCCTTGGGAAGTTGATAGGTAGCAATAATGTTTCTGTATGTTAGGTTTGGGCTTTCGTCCTGCTGTTTTTTGTTGTATCGTCATTCATAATGCTTAGGATTTCACCTTTTGCTTAGAGTAAATTAGTTAAACTTTTTGGAAGCTGACCAAACAATGCTCTATGATCATATTGTGGGGTTATCTTGTGGTCTTTGGGATATATCTAACTCCTTAAGTTGAACTATTACATTTAAAATGATGTTATAATTGTTTTATGGTCATTATTCTTATTGTGTTATGTGGAAATCATTTCATGGTATGAATAAATCCTAGTTAAACATTGACGGGAAAAAACTATCCTTTTGCTTAATGGCATGAATATTCACATTGCTCTTCCCTCGTTTAGCTCTTTCTTTATAAATTAATAATGCTTATTAGCCTTAGATATCAAACATTATGTTTTATTGTCAGTTATTCAAGATGTCATACAAATTGATAGCTCAATGTTAAATAACTTTATTTCAGTCTATGAATAAATATTGAATGCTTCAATAGGTGGACAAAGTGCCTGGATAGTGGATAAATATTGTTGTTCTTTTTTTAATGAAATCTACTCATGAAAATAAGTTGCCTCTGATGATAGTACTCTCTGATTTTGATTGATTGATCCTTTATTTTATCTTTGGTTGTTGACATTGATTGCTTCTAAAGTTGAGCAAGAAGAGATTACTTCTTTTTGGGAACTCTCTTTTTATAACCAACTAGAAAGCAATTCTCTGGCCGGAATAAAGAGAGTGGATCTCTGAATTTGATCATTTGCTGCTTCCAAATAATTGATTTGTATAGTTGCCTGCCCCATTGAACTTGATTAGTTTTGCGCGTCATTGTCTTGACCCTTGAGAAATCAAGAAAGGAGAAAAAGTTGAGTTAGACTTTGGAACATTGAATTTGGTTGATGTGCATGCTTGTTTTATTCCAGTCAACATGACTTTGTTTCCTTGTCTTTGTCTCTATTTTTGCATGGTTGGGATAATGTGGCTCTTCTTTTTGGCGGACAAGGATGGAACAATCAAGGATGTGAAGTAAGGTATCATATCTAGAGGTGATCTTGATTTCCAGAAAAGGTCTGAGACAAATAAAGGCCTGATTTCATAGCGAATGCAAGCTGATACTGTCTGATTAGTTGCTTCGCGTAAGGCTGGAACTTTAGTGTTCATGGTCCTGCACATAAACAATCAAGGATGTGAGGTAAGGTATCATATATTGCTAAGTGATGGTTATGAAACATATCGATCTACTTCTCATCCGTAGATTGTGTAGTGAAAATGGTAAATTGTTGAAGAGCTCTATTTTTTTGCTGCCTCTTTCTGAGAGGATGATTTTTCATTAACTGGTTTTCTTTAAGGCATGATATTAGATTAGTATTTATGAAGATTAGAATTAGGTACAATGTAACCAGGAGTTCCAAAAATAGTAGATAAGATGAAATAACAACTGGAGCAATGACTTTTATCACAAGCTTTTTAGGCTTTGATTGTTGTCCAGAACTAGTGACAGCACAAAGCATGAACCTCAAATATGTACATTCCACATAGATCTCTGTTCCTTGGGAAAGATTGCAGAGTGAAATTTGCAAATACACCACCTATGGGTACTAAGTTTGTCACGACCCATTTTCTAAACAAGCCGAGACCGGCACTCG